TGAACAAGTCTTGACGAAATATATTTTCTGGCATTAAATAACCTGCAAAATTTTGATACGCTGTAAAAAATCAAACAAATCAATCATAGACGCTCGTATTTTAATGGCACACTATTTAGTATTTATTAAAGCTATGAGTAAATAATAAATAAATAAATGTCATATTAAATTAAAGCGTCTATATATATGATAAGTCGAAACGCAAACATAATCATAATTTACACTCTTTATATTCGAACTATTCTCCCCATCTTTTTGTTTGTATCACAACGTTTCAGTCGTTCTACCCTCCGGTGTTCCTCGGGCGTATAGCGATCTGGTTAAGCTACAGCGAATTCTGAACTGAACCCTTTATTTAATCTGCGAAGAACTAGATATCCCTAGACATGAGCAATTATAATAATCAATGTCTACCCCAGTAGATTAAATAAACGGTTCGGTATTGAATTCCCTGGAGGTTGTCAAGATCTGTAAATACCTGACGAAGGCCGGAGGACACAGCTGCCGAAACGTTATGCTAACAACAATAAAGATGAGGAAAATAGTCCGAATATAAATAGGGTAAATGAGAGTAAACAAAGAAGACGAATATTTATGTGTGTAGAAGAGATGATGACTTTGTCTAGTGTGGTAAAGCGAGTATATATATGCCCGGCGTGAGAAACGAGTGAAGAAATGGAAAAAGAAATATGGCCGCCGTGACACCATTTATTATTTAAGAAAGACACGGTCTCGGAGAATTGGTGAGTCTCGTTGCGCGTATGCAATTTTTTGCGAGATCAGCTCAGCATAAAAAAACACCACGCGAGAGAGAATAAACGGTTCGTTCGTGAACGTGGCGCTGCTTATACGGAGGAACTTGTTAGTTGGAAAGAGATTACTTAGGCCAGTTTCACACATTGTTTTACACATTGTGTTTACTAAATAAATATACATCTAGGTAAACATTACCTTTATTTATACTTATACAGTGTATATCTTAAGTTTCTTAATATATACATAGTATATCTTATGTATCTAATTTAGCCCGCTCAAAAGCTAGCAGAAATTATTTTTTCTTTGCCAATCCCAATTCACGTATATATCAGTGCTGTAACCTCCGGAAGGCTACTGAATTGAATAATCAAACGAAGGTTAGTAATGAACGATATTACTTAGGACAAGAACAACACATATAAGATTCATGTAGAAGTAGTAGTCAACTGCTAGGTGTGAGTCAAGTGAATTCCACAAGGCCGAGTTTAATATGTGGTATCCGAGCCTGTAGGCTCGGCCAAAAATTCCTCTTAGACCCCGTATAAAACGGGGTCGAGTAGCTGTTTCCCGAGTTGAGAATCTGCCCTTCGACATAGCCCTCTCTAGAGAACCTCTCTGCCCTAAGGCAGAGATTTTGACCAGCACAGCTAGAGACGAATCCCCAACTGCAGACCAACATACAGTATTTACTACTGTATTTATATAAATGGGGACATACCCATTATCGTCCGTAGGTATGCTGAAACAATAAGTGTCACTATAAATATGTACGTAGATATGAAATGGAAAAATATGGAATAAATTCAATAGTATTATTAAATAAGAAAAAATACCAAAATTGATATAAATTGACATATTTCGCTTTTAATGAAGTATCATCAGAAAAATTTGGAAAAAGATTTTTTCCAGAAATTGTTTCAAAAAACAACTTTACCATAAAATTTTTTCGGCAGAATCTTTTGGGCAAACAAATTTTACAAAGATCTTTTTTTTTTTAAAAAACCTTTTCCAAAAATTTCTGGCGAAATTAAAATAAAAATGGAACATGCTAAATTTATAAATGTTTTCTTACAGCTTGGTATGTTGACTTGAATGTACCCCAATATTCATCTGTAAACACGTATAAAGACTAGCTTCAGTCAAAGTTGACAATGATTGTAACATTTTCGATTTATTATTGTCTGCACAATTATTATTCTATATTTTTTTTTATTTGTGGGGGAAAGAATCTTACATTCACGCACTCCTTATTCCAATGTTTCTTAACCGGTGCACCAGGGCGTATTTGTGCGTCCTGAAAGTTAAGCCAGGTGTCCCCAAAGTTAACAGAAGATTAATTTATTAATTATTTTCATATCTAAAAAAATCTTTATTTTTAAAAAGCTAGAGACACCAAACACATGACTTCCATGTCTAAGTCATTGTCATTTGATATTTTAAACTGGAGGCTAAATTCCTTAATCTTTAAGAAGGAGTGGATAATCCATTCCCTTTTGCCTTCCTCGACAAATTTAAATCAGTCATTATCGGTCTCCCTTAAAAGAAAAATAGCAGATTCATCATAAATCTATTTAAATGAAAACTACCGCTTAGATATTAAAGTAATGTAAAAACAAATGCTTATTTCAGGAGATTTTTTTTTATTATTTTCAAATTTCATGACTAAGTTTTCCTTATTAAAATTTAAAGTGCGTCCCAGAGATTTAATTATTCTACGGGTTCGCCCTGAATTAAACATGATTGAGAAACTGCTCTATTCAGTCAGTTATCTGTTTTCAGTCAAGGCATTTGTACGAAGGTACCTTTTGACCTTATCCAATATAAGCAGGTCTAGCCAAATTTTAAAAGTTTACCCGCGACACAAGCGATTATCAACCTCCGTAACACATTAGTGTGGCGCGCGATCCTCTTAAGTTTGCCGCGAAATATTGAAGAAATAAAGAAAAAAAATACCAGATGCAAATATTTATTTTCACGGAATACATATACATGTGTGTGTGTGTGGGAGTAGTAATGATAGAACGTTAGTAGTAGAGAAAATGAATAAGTATTAAAACTTTTTTAAAAAATAATTTTTTTCTGTAGTTCCCTTTTAATATTGGTGTGTAAGAACTGTCCAACTGTTCTACTAGTAGAAAACACAAATATATTAACTGCATCCGCCTGCAAAAAAAGACTAAAAATAATGGAAGCTTTAATAATAAAAAAGAAAAAGCCAACTCTTAACAATATTAACTACGAACAAAGCCACAATGTGCTAACCGTATTCGGAAATTAAAAACATCCCTACCACACACTGATACATACACAGAACGCACACACTCAATTAAGCTGAAAAATCGAATCATCCTTGATAATGACTAAAGGTATAGCCGAAACCGCTCGGAAATATAAAACATTTGGACAGTTCTTACACACCCTTTGTCCAGAAAAGAAAGCTCTTGTTCGAACACTAGAAAAATTAAATAAAAAGCTTAACCGTAGTACCTTGCCTGTCGTTTTTAATGAGACATGCATAAAGGAAGGATTACTGCCTAAATATACAACTATATATATATATATATATATATATATATATATATATATATATATATATAAAAGCAAGAGGTTATAGTAGTTCCAACGAGAGAAAAGTGTTTATATTAAAAAGAAGAGATAAACCGCAAACGTTTTTGGTTGTAATGTGGATTTAAAAAAAATATTATGCTTTATTTTCCATAATTTTGCTACACGCGTTTCCGGTCTCGCGACCGTCATCAGGCAAAGCGTGGAGATTTCCACATATTAAAAATAATTAATTTTTCTTTATGTCTTTGGATGTTAAATATTCTCGATATGAGACATTCTCTTTTTTGTGTGTTAGTGACCCAAATGTCTTCCTTGAACTGGCCAGCATAATATTTAAAAAAAAACGTTAAAACCAAAAACGTTTTTGGTTTCTCTCTTCTTTTTAATATATATATATATATATATATATATATTTCTGTTATTTTAAAAATAAAAACAAATGCTAAGAATGAATTATAAATCTCATTCTTCTTTCCTAATATATATATATATATATATATATATATATATATATATATATATATATATATATATATATATATATATATTTCTGAGTGTGTGTGTGTGTATGTATATATGTGTAGGATTAATATGAGTAAAGTTTGTCACTTAGCTAATTCATGTTAGCTTCAGTATCACGAGTCCATAGTTTCGTAGGTGGACCTGTCTGTCCACTCTACAGCGGCTATCAGCAATTTACTACTCATATATATATATATATATATATTTATACATTTGACATTAGTTCTGAATTTGCTGTATTTATTGTGGAAAAATAACCGTTTCTTGGTACAGTTTCTCTTCTCAATTCAATTTTGGTTTGAAGTTTGCTTGGCGTGTGAAACTGACACTCGCCATGAAATGTTAATTCTTACGTCTTAATTGTCTGTCGTTATATATATATATATATATATATATATATATATATATATATATATATATATATATAATTTCGCTGATTTAGACAAATCATTATAGTAATTCATGGAGTCTATAAGAATCTTCAACAGAATTCTATTTTTGGGATTCATCAGCAGTGCGTATCCACTATAGAGATTTGAACCCGAACCGATTCGATACAATGCAAGCGTCATACCCACTGTACCAACTGGCCTCGGTGGCAAGAAGGACCGTCGTCCAGTGATTTCTGCATTCTGTTGAAGATTCTTCTAGGCTCGATGAATAACTATAATGATATGTATATATATATATAAATTGAATAACATTTTGCGATATTTTTTAGAGAAGGGTGCTTAATGTCGGTATTTTTGACTACCTTTTGTAAATACAAACCTTGATCGATTGTTGATTTGTTTATTAAACCTCTGTGGGTTATTTAAAGCTGATGGATATTTGGATTGTAAGAATAACTCCTTTTTTGGGGAGATCCGAGAATAGTGCATCTAAGAATAATAATGTTTTTTCTTCTGATACACTAACCCCTAGCTGGGGTGGGGGAGATGGATTCATACTTCTTCTAGATTAATTGCAACCAGGTCAAAAGTGTCCAGTACATATTTATGTTATAATTTTTAAATAAATAATTATATCTGCTCTACTCTATATTGAGCACTCTTTTCAGAATAGTAATTGTTGGTTATTGGAATTATTCCGTATACACCAATCTTATACTCATATATATATATATATATATATATATATATATATATATATACATATATATATATATATGAATAGAATGGGATAGATAGATAGATAGATAGATAGATAGATAGATATGAATAGAATGGGACAGATAGATAGATACTAAAGAGTGTGCCATACAGAAATTAGAATATATGAATATAAAAAAGAATTCTGAGATAGATAGATAGATAGATAGATAGATAGATAGACAGATAGGAACAGGCTGAGAGATAGATCGATAGAAAGATAGATGTATGCTAAAGGGTTACCATATAGAAATTAAAATATAAATATAACTTAACGGTTTCAGACACATGAAATAGATAAATAGTTAGTAATTATCTCTACAATTCTATACGTAATCTCATTTTAAGTTTATAAATAAATAAGTGGACATGTTTGTCATAATATTTAGGGTAAGTATTTCTTTTAATATTTATAATCTTACATTGTAGATATTTATTAGCATATCTTTTTATACGCTATGCAACACTACCTGAACGCGAACAAATTGATCGAATCCTCTTGTGGCTTCTGCTTGTCATCATTGAGATGCGCGCGCTCAAAAACCCCCGTGTCTTTTTTAACACTGTATCTTGACTCATATTTATACACTATTCGCCTTACAAACTTTGCAATCATCTGTCTGTTCAGGGAGCACAGAGACTTTAAAACGTCAATCATTCGTTTAAGGATAACCTTCCAGACTCTACTTATCCAAACCCCAACGCGAATTAAAATATGGCATACGGCCATTTTAGACATTTAGTGGGCAAAGGAAGGTTTGGCACAAGGCCAAATTTAGGGAACACTTGCTGAACAGCGAAATTCTTAACAATGTGAGATTAGCTATAATGCAGCAGGCGTTTGGGAAGTTTTCTCTCGCCTTGACCTTATTCATCGTTAATATTCTATTAGGTTGGAATAGAGGACCTCTGTGAATTAAAGCTGGAAAAAAATACTTCTTTAGAATTAATTTGTTTTTAATCAAGATAATATTTCCTATAATTATCGTTAACAGTCCCAACTATTTGGCATATCTTGATTGTAACATTGTTCAGGCTTAGATGCAAAGAAACAGCCAATATCAATCATAACTTTTTAACAATAAACACTTTTCCTTCAAAGAACTGAACAATGATCTGAAAAGATCGCCAGATGGAGCAAAGTCAGAAGAGTAAGGAGGATGAGGTGGAAGTTTCATATGGAATTCCATAATCTTTATCTGTGTGACTCTGATAATAAGTAGTTTTGCATTATCGAAAAGAGCAATGGCAGTGAAGCAATGACAGTGAAGCAATGACAGGCGCCTTTTTTGCCAATTTTTTTCTGCAATGTTTTTTTTTTATACGGGTGCAGCATTCGTTCGTGGATGGATTCACCTTTTTACGTAGGGGATAGTCATTGTCACTTTTAGTAGATTTAATTATAGAGAATCCAGTTTTTATTACAAATCATGGTAATAGTAATCGTGATATTAGCCGTTTCCCTACAAAGTAACCTTTGGCATCCATTCACTGAGCAGCCAGTATTGCTTTCGTTTGAAATTTATAATCTTTCTCGTTTCCGAGGAAAACATGTATCTCAAGTCCAAAAGCTGTTATCACTCATTGAGGGGGGGTCTTTCTAATATTTTAATTGAGGCAGTGTGGAACGTTAGCAACTTGATTATATCATTATTTTCTCTTCTAGTTACATGTACTATCCATTTTAGTTGTTGCCGCTGTTGATAGTCTTCAAGTGATGTACTTTCCGTTATCTGGTACCGTTCTTTTTTGTGATTCTGTAGCGCCAGTCCACAATTTTCAAAGGATGACCTTTGAGAAAACCTTCAGGTTTTACTCGTTCAAAGCCTTTTTTCATCACTGATCTTAGAAGGCAGTTGTATATAGTTTAGATCTTTTGTTCAACAGGTTGTGCGCTAGGCATCAAAACCTTATGATAGTTTCGATTTGACGATGGTATTTAAGAAAATGGCGAGTTAGTTTAGTTTCGTAGCTATTGTCGTGTTGGTCGAAGCTGTCTCTAGCATAGCTTATTCTGTGTTCAATTTCTTTTATTTTTTTTCTAGCTAGCTTTTCTGAATTGTCCAACGTTTGCTGTTGTTTATTGTCAGGTTGCTGAGACTGAATCAATGGCATCACAAACTATGGATCGAGGAAGATCAACTCATACACCTGACCACGAAGAAAACACAAAATACATCTCATAGTACCGTATAGAGGGTACTTCAAGAGAAGCTTCTGTATCTCTATCATTTGCACTATGTGCAGGGTCTATCGCTCTCTGATCACTCACCATGGGAGAACATTCGCTGATGGTTTATTACACAAACTGTCAATCCGTTATTTGTCTCTATTTATGGATAAGGCATCATTTAGAAGAGATGGAATAACAAATTTACACAACAAACATTTGTGGGCAGATTGTTCAACTGTTCAATGACGAACATAGCTTTTGCAATAAGCTGGGAAAAAGTCAGATTATGAAGGATCCACTGACCAAGTTTAGACACTTCAGAGTTTATGAATGTGTTTTTTTTTATGATCGAAGTGACTTATATTAAACTGTTTTACTATTTATCCTGTAGTTTAATTAGATTTTCCTCAAGCAAGGTTTTCAGAAATTCAATGTTAGTAGCCATTAGTCGCTTAGGTCGGGGAAAGAAAACTGAATGCATCGTTATTAGCAAAAGGATGAGCCCAAAGTCTGAATTGAAAATCGGTGGTATTAAAATCAAACAAGTTCGGAAATTTAGATATCTTTGAAGTGTTTTAAAAATGGACGTAAAATATGACAGTGAAATCCGAAGCCGTACTGGGGTAGCCAAAGATGCCTTTCAAAAGTTAACCAGACTACTAAGAATTAGGAACATTTCGCTAAAAAGAAAAAAAAAGATTACTCAACTGCTACGTGATATCTGTTCTCATGTATGGCAGTGAGTATTGGACGATCTCCTCAAAGATGAAGAGGAGACTTGAAGCAAGAGAAATGTGGTTCTACAGAAGGATGCTGAGGATACCGTAGACCGAATATGGGTACAAAGACGGAGTTTTGGAGAAAATGGAAACAAAAAGGAAACAAATATCTTACGAAAGAAAAAGTTGAGGTTTCTGAGCTACATAATGTGAAAGGAAGGCTAGGAAAATCTGATGGGACAGAGAAAAACAACGTATAATATACTTAGTGAGCTTAGTGAAGGTTTAGGAGAAATAACATAGATACAAAGGACAGGATGTTGTGGAGAGCCATGATCGCCTACATCTTGAGGGTACGTAAAGAAGAAGAAGATTGAGGACCTCTGTAAGAAAAATACATTGGCTTTCATTCTCATAGACGAAACGTATATTTGATCCCAGTTCTGTTCCTGAAAAGCCCTTTTTGTATTGATAAAGCATACATTGCCTGATATGTGTCTGATTGAAATTCATTTTAAAAGAGTAAAATCGGTAGAAATTTTACAGATTGTGAAAGTATGTAATCTACAAAGAAAGAATTGATTGATTTGTTTTTAACGAATTAACAACGACTTGTGGGTTATTTAAAACGGAAACATATTTTAGATTAAAACGTAATCATATTTTAGATGAAAACGGAAACATATTTTAGATTAAAACGGGAATCGTATTTTAGATGAAAAACGGAAACATATTTTTAGATTAAAACGGAAACATATTTTAGATTAAAACGGAATCGTATTTTTAGATGAAAACGGAAACATATTTTAGATGAAAACGGAAACATATTTTAGATTAAAACGGGAATCGTATTTTAGATGAAAACGGAAACATATTTTAGATTAAAACGGAAACATATTTTAGATTAAAACGGGAATCGTATTTTAGATGAAAACGGAAACATATTTTAGATGAAAACGGAAACATATTTTAGATTAAAACGGGAATCGTATTTTAGATGAAAACGGAAACATATTTTAGATTAAAACGGAAACATATTTTAGATTAAAACAGGAATCGTATTTTAGATGAAAACGGAAACATATTTTAGATGAAAACGAAACATATTTTAGATTAAAACGGAATCGTATTTTAGATGAAAACGGAAACATATTTTAGATTAAAACGGAAACATATTTTAGATTAAAACAGAATCGTATTTTAGATGAAAACGAAACATATTTTAGATGAAAACGGAAACATATTTTAGATTAAAACGGGAATCGTATTTTAGATGAAAACGGAAACATATTTTAGATTAAAACGGAAACATATTTTAGATTAAAACGGAAACATATTTTAGATTAAAAAATAATACAATTATATGACTGAATATTGTATTAACAATTTTTTGAGAATATAATGTTTTTCTAGGTGGAAATGCTACTATTTAAACCTTAATTGTGGGGAAGGAGCTGGATTCGTACCTTTCCCAAGCATATTTGCGCATGCCTAAATGTAAATCGAAATTGGCTCTCCAATTTCTCAGTCCGAACCGCTTTACATGACAACACTCGCCCATCCATATGGAGAACGAAAACAAACATTAATATGTAAAAATGAATGGTTATATTACCGTAAGTATTGAAAAACTACTAGGAAAAAGATGAAGGACAGAGGGCTTGGAAAATTTGATACTCGCAGGATAGTTCGAAGGCAAGACGGACAGAGGAAATCCACACATAACCTAAATGGCGAGCTTATATGTCTTTTTGCTATATTTTTGGAATTAATGACGAATAGACTTACGCGAACAGAGCGGCGATGTCGACCGGGGTGTCCTAAGGCGCGAACGCCTCATTCTCCTCCGCTTTTGTATCGTTCTATTTGCATTGGCGGAAGAGATGAAGGCAGAAATATGTTATATAAATCCTGACACCTCATACTCGAGATGCTTTTTGGTCGACAGCGAAACAATTTGTTATTGTTCCTGTATGTTATCACTGTGATTACCTAACCCTGGCAGAAAGCGTTGCAAGAGAAGGACATTTTCTTTTGCAACCTGGTTCATTTTCGACAATATCTCCTAAAATCTGTTCTGCCAGTTATTGACACAAGCTTTTTACGTAGGTCATGTGCTGCTTTCTTATGTTTATCTTGCCTTCAATCTGTTCTGTGAGTGTCAAATTTTCTAAGCTCTCTTTCTTTATCTGCCTATATCTCTGAAATGAGCTATTAGGTTGGTGCAAAAATAATGACGTATTAATGTCGTTTTTTAACGTTAAAAATACGTCAAAAAACGACATTATTACGTCATTATTTTTGCACCAACCTAATATTATGATTACTTGTATTATTTACCTTATTCAGACTGTTATCTTCATCTTGAATCCCATATTCACAGCCCCCCTTTCTTTATTATGCACTCTAGAAATTCCAATGGTTTCTTTTTGATGCTACTTATACGTATCCTTTTTTATTCAGTCAATTTTCTCTAAAAATTTCGTCGTTGCTCATGTGTACAGTTGATGGTATTCTCAGCATCCTTCTGTGGAACCACATTTCTGTTGCCTCAAGACTGTTCAATATCTGCGACGAGATGGTACAGCTTTTACTAAGATATAGGAATACCGGTACTAAATGACATTTCAGTACTCTTTTTTTTTTTGTTTCCAATGAGATTTACGCTTTTCTTAATGCTTTGCTTAACTTTTAAACGGCATCTTTCACTATCCCGATGCGCTTTTGAATTTCGGTCCCACATTTTCCATCCACTGTTAATATGTTTTCTAAAGATTTTTAGTTATATTTTTTTTAGATAATTAGCACTTATTTAATTTTGCTATCTCCAATTTGTAATTTGTATGTTGATCTGTTTCCTTTTGCTTACGACCATACATTACATTTTCTTACTGTTGACACTTAGTCCTTTCTTCTCGCTTTCTTTTATTGCCTTCTGTAGGAGTTGTAGTAGTTCCTTTCTGTGTCTGCTAAATGAGATAGGCTAAGTTTCACTTTTAGATATATCGGACATCAAAATTAAAATGCAAATGTTAAATATCTCTGTATCTATAGCGTTTCACTAAAAACGGTAAACATCATTCGTTGCATTTCTCATTTTTCCTCTTTCCATATATAAGAGTTTCTTCAGGGAATCGGGATTTGTCAGATGAAGTTCTTTCTCGAAACGAAATGTCTCGATCCACACGTTTTCGTCTTGTCATTCTTTTTTTGCCCACCGGCATATTAATCGATATTAAACGCGTATTCTGTTTAATCACTTCCTAGTCCCTGTCTTGCATATATACAAGCACAGTTATGAAGAAATGTGCACTGATCTCTTAAGAATTCCTTACCACATCCAAAACAAATTTAGTAATAGGAAAACAGCGTGACTGCCCTCTCCTCCCGAAGCCAGTGATGAGAGATCCTATGCCGATGACATAGATATTCATATTTGAGAAGGATGATCTTGAATAAAATAAATCAACATCCTCTACCAAGTGTTCCAAGAAATAGGACTCAAGATTAAATTTTTTGAGAGCAGAAACTATGAAACATCTGGAATTGAGATTAAAACAGTGATGGTACCTATACAGTATCCTTCATGACAATTCAGGATGAGGTATTAGTAAATACTAAACAATTCAAATACTTTGGTGCAAGGATCTGTTATAATAAAAGTTAGTATAAAAAAATAAAACAATTGAATACCGAATAGGCTGAGCTAGAAGTAATATCGCTCAACACTGCAGGCTGATGAAAAGAAAAAAAAATTAACCTAACAACATGAATCAAGAAAGAGACTTTAATATGGATGCTATGTATGGCGCCGAACTTGTTCAGGATAATCTAAACTGAAAGCTGTATTACAAGTACTTTCTCAGATCAATATTTAAAAATGGCTTCCAGTGAATTCAAACCGTTGGTCTTAGCGAGGATCACACTTCTTCGAACCTCGTGGACTGGCGCTACAGAATTACATACAAAGAACTTTACCAAATAACAGAAACAGCACTTGATGTCTTTGAACAATAGTAACCACTAAAATGGATAGCATATATAAGTCGAAGACCTAATCAAGATATTGCCATTCCACACTACTTTAAACAAAGGTTAGGAATGAAACTGTTGTGGATCCCGCGTGAAAAATAAGTATCCAATAAATGACAAACGCAAGTATTTAAGCTAAGAAATTAAATGTATTTACACAAAATACAAAAGGTAATGCTGTTAGTAAAATCCAGGAACACGGTTAGTAGCAAATACAGATAGATATATACAGTCTCGAAGTAGGACTTCCTTAGAGTCTACGTGCTTGTAACTGACTTCTACAAGAGGTTACTTCACTCTATCCGACACCCTACGACTCCGGTACGACTCATCTTCTCTGCCTGATTGTGGCTATTTTATGGCAGCAGGACGAGTCCATTATATCCGAAAAGGGTGGACCCCATAACAGAAATCCACGCCAATACTTTACTGAACTTGAGAAACATATTTTTCTAAAATAAATTGCTGTAAGTAAAAAGTTTTTACAGATTTCAACCGAGGTTGATACTGGCTGCTCGGTCAATGAATACCGAATGTTTCCATATAAGGAAACTGCTAATGTTTCTTATTATTATTAATGCATGCAAAAGGAAGTAAATTTATTAATTCAACTGCAAATTACGGCAGCTTGTAATCGTAGAAAGAGGTTTTAAATCATTACATAGCTACGTAGGTAACTGTTGCTATAAAGATGGTGAATGTTTTATGGCATGCCAAACGGCTAGTCTCTTGTGGCTGGATCGAATTTAATACTATTTAAGAATCTTTGTTCTAAAAGAAGCTATCTGTGATGAGCCTAAAGTAAGAGATACCAAATAATCGTTGCACTTAGTGTTACACCAGAATTTCAAAAGACTTAGGTGCATCAGTGTTGACATAGAAAACATCCTCTTATCTGTTAAGTGCAGAATCGGGATTCAAAGGATGTCTGTGACTGAGTCTACAAATGAATAGGGAGTTAATTTATTTGAAATTGGGATATACCCACACGCACGACAGACGGATGGCAGGACGTTAGATAAACGTACCACTTGCGAGGTCAAAGTTAGACTACTTCACATCAATGTTCGTGGAAAGCTTCCCAGTGTAGGGAAGTGACACACAGAAGAAGTGATTTCGATCCTAATAACGCCCCATATAAAATTGGACAACATGTGTTGATATGCAAAACTAACCAACTTAATATCCATCCCATTTGATGGCACCTTACTTAAAGTCAAGTGTATCCATATTTTTTTTAATTAGCATCGCTCGAGAAAATCTTTAATAACCACGTGGTATCAATATCATTTTCAATAATTCTTATCTTGACAAGACAGAAAAAAATGTAGTTGGAAAAGAAGCCAAATTTGTTGATGAGACAAGTGTTTGACACGAGTCCAAAACTTGGCCCACATTTGGCACAACTGATGTGTGCTTGCAAGATAATTGTTTCCATCATGTTTTGTATACATCTTACCTATGCTTCACCCTTTTACTTGTTAACGTTGACCTAAAGCAAATGGTGGTGGCTGACCAGAGTAATAATATGCAAATATATTCATGAAAGAAGAAGCATGTGAGTGAACGAAAAAGAGACAAATGGAAAGAATATAAACAACAGCTCGAAAAATGACGATAGAAATAGAAAAGGCGGCAAGATGAGAGGAAGAAGGTGAAAATATGAGGAATGAAGAAGAATTCAGGGGAAAGAGAAAAACAGAAAATTAATAGAATAATTGAAGTCAATTCATATGAAAAAGAGAGAATAGTCGATTTTAAAAATGGGTGTAAGTAGACAGAAAAAGAGGAATGTAAAATAGAAACGAAAGGAAGAAGGATTGATTTTGATATTAAAGATATCAAGGAGAAAAGAAGTAGACTAGAAAAAGTGAAACAAAAAAATAAAAGAAATCCCAGAGGGATCAATGCTGATAAATTTCTAGAGGAAAGAAAGAAAGAAAGAATGAATGAAAGAAAGACAGAGAAAGAAATGAAAAAGAGAGACGAAAACTAGAATATAACGAAAGAAAGTAACGAAAAAAGGAAACGAAAAATAAAATATATTGAAAGAAAGAAAGACAGAAAGAAACAAAAGAGAAAAGGAAAAAGAGTAAAATAATATATAGCAAAAGAAAGAAAGAAAAAGACGAACTAAAAATAAAGAAAGAAAGAGGGAGAAAGAAATGAAGAACAGAAAAGAAAACTAAAATATAACGAAAAAAGGAAATAAAGAAGGCAATGAAAGAGAACCACAGAATAAAATATAGTGAAAAGAAAGAAAGAAAAAAGAGAAAAGAGAAAAAATAAAATATAGCAAAAGAAAGATAAAAACGAAATGAGAAGCAAAAAATAAAATATAACGGAAGAGAAAAAGGAAGAAAGGTAAAAGAGAAACTAAATAAAATATAACGAAAGAAAGAAAGAAAAGAGAAACAAAAAATAAAGTATAACGTAGGAAAGGAAGAAAAGAAGGAAAAGAGAAAGGAAAATAAAATATAATGGATGAAAGAAAGGAAGAAAAGAAAAAGAGAAACAAAATAAAATATAACGAAAGAACGAAAGAAAGAAAGAAAGAAAGGCAGAGAAAGAAATGAAAAAGAGAAACAAAAAATAAAATATACTGAAAGAAAGACAGAAAGAAACAAAGAAACAAAAGAAAAAGGAAAAATAATATGTAGCAAAAGAAAGAAAGAAAGAAAGAAAGAAAGAAAGAAAAAGACAAACTAAAAATGAATAAAGAGGGAGAAAGAAATGAAGAACAGAAACGAAAACTAAAATATAACGAAAAAATGAAATAAAGAAGGAAAGGAAAAAGAACCGAAGAATAAAATATACTGAAAAGAAAGACAGAAAAAAGGTAAAAGAGAAAAAAATAAAATAAAACAAAAGAAAGAAAGAAAAAATGTAAAGAGAAACAAAAAATAAAACATAACGTAGGAAAGAAAGACAGAAAAGAAAAAGAGAAAGGAAAAATAAAAAGAAGAAAGAAAAAAAAGAGAAACAAAATAAAATATAACAAAAGAAAGAAAGAAAGAAAGTAAAATTTAAAAAGATAGAAAAAAAAAGAAAAATAACGAAAAAGAAATGACAGAATAAAAAAGAATGGTAAAGGAAAAAAAGGGAGTTATTGATGTTAGAATATAGATTTATTACGAGAAACCCAAAACGAATAAAATCATAAAATCAAAAGGTGGGGGCGGGGAGAGGAAAAGAATGATTATGAAAAAGAAGCAGAAACGAAAGAAGCAAACGAAGAATAAGAAAAGTGCAAAGAAAGACAATGATCGGAAGAAGAGAATTCAATGGAGGTTTAAATAAAAATCTAAAAAGAATAAAAACGAACCCTACCTAGCGTATCAAACAAAATTAACAAATACATTGCTAAAAACCGGACGTTGCTTACAAATGATTGCACCATGCCTTTTCGCGCCCTACCTCCGACATGAAATAATTAACCGCTTTCGGCTGACTGGTTTATAATCAACGTCATAAAGCGTCAGAAGGACACGTCGAATGAATTATGTAGTCAATATCCAACCGTTTAGACGGTCCCAAATTTTTCCCTTGTGTAAATAAACGAAGCCGCAAAGACTTAGTTGTTCATGCGTTCAATCGAAGGAACCATTTGCATAATGGCTTTAAGATACGGGCTAAATATTACAACTTGCTTTCCCTGTTTCTTCCTTACGTATTGCCTATGTCCTCATCAAACTGTCTCGTTTTCCTTTGGCGTCTTCGTTTCAATGTTAATCATCATTTCTGTCCCACTTATCGTTATTATAATTGCCTTCTCTTCTTTTACACCTTTCACCCCACTTTGTCTCTCTTTTTATATATATATATATATATATATATATATATATGTGTGTGTGTGTGTGTGTGTGTGTGTGTGTGTGTGTGTGTGTGTGTGTGTGTGTATGTGTGTGTGTATGGCCGGAAGATCGAGTGTCGACAGTCTGTTTCGTAGTTAAATGCAACCTTCAGACTAAGATTTTGTTTCACCATAAAACAGACTCTTTCAATTCGGTTTTAACCCCAATGTCGACTCTTATATTTACGCACGCTCTTTTCAAATATTGTAAATTTTGGCCATATATATAGCATACTTTAAAACTATATATATATATATATATATATATATATATATATACTTTCATTCATGATAATAATTATATGCTCTGTTTTTGACATTGAGCTCTCACCGGATCTATATCCTATTTGGAATTATCCATACGGATTACTAAATACTAAACCATATTTTAAATCAATTAATTTATAATATTAATGCTCTGTAAATTTACATTGAACACTATTTTGTAAAAATAAAAATATCTATAAGAACACCGGATTATAAATCTTACTGTTCTTTCTTTTTATATATATATATATATATGGTTGACTCCCCAGTCGTATTCGACGTATGAGGGTCAAGCAGTTCACTTCCTGAGAACCGACAGTCTAGACACCAGCACATATGATTTGATTATTGTGGTGAATGCTTTGTGCAGAATCAACCACACTTTCTGAAGGGCCACAAGGTCCCCAAACGACTCTCTGCAGGCTTTGAATCCAGAGTTGCCCATCTCCTAGACCAGTTGCCATCCAAAGCTGAAGCACCCAGGCTGGAAGGAGAAGAAGAACATTAATACCTTTCCCAAGGATATTAGCACGTAAGTGAATGAAATGTATTCGACTGGAATTCGTAGTCGGCTCTCAGATTCCACAATTCGAGAAGCTATCCACTACGGCAACGGGCCCCACTCTCTCTCTCTTTCTGTATATATAGAGTGGATACCTGTATTTGAAAGACGTTACATTTTCTGCATTAAGTTTTCACGAGTGGGTAAGTCGGTACACGTAATAAGCAATGTTACAAAAAAATAAAATAAAAAAAGCGTTAACTCGAATACGATTTTCACTCTATATTTTAATTTATTTGTTTAAACGGTATTTTTGATGAATACTCATATTTGAATAGATGTTCAGTTTTTATTTATTTATTTATTTATTAAAGTGTATATTAATTTATTTCCATCTACTAGCCTGAATATTTGTAAATTCTTGATAGAATAAATTGTGCCTGTTCGCCAGGACTCACAACTGCCTCTGCTGGGAAAAACCGCCATTAGTTCTGACGTCTCCTGACTTCTCGGTCACGTAGGCCCTCCTGATAAAAAAAAAGCCTGAACAGTGCTTTTGAACACATATCTTTATATATATAAGGTGTATTTAGGCAGCACGAATTCTTTTAAACAAGTTTTGTCGGACAATACCGACACGGCCTTTGTGTCCAATTGTTTTATTAAGTTTTTCCAACTTTCGACTAAGTTGTTTTATACTATTGGTAAACTTTCATTTTCGTTTTTTGGCTATTTTGAATCCGAATAACTTTTGACTGTAATACAGTCGTTAACAAGTATTGTTTGTCTATGAAACTATGTTTGGCTAATTCCAACACACACACACACACACACACACACACACACACACACACACACACACACACACACGCACACACACACACACACACACACATGCATACATGCACACACACAAACACACACACACACGCATACACACAGACACACATATACATAGATGCACACACATATACACACATGCACACACATATGCATACATATATATATATATATATATATATAGATAGATAGATATGTAAACATTTCAGATAGAGTATATCTGTAAAAGAACAATATGAATAAAGACAAAAGGGGAAGAAACTTAACTTAGCATTTCTGAAGCGCATTGATAAAGTCATTCAGTTAAATTAAGTTTTTCTTTTGTCTTTATGCATATATATATATATATATATATATATATATATATAGGGAGAGAGAGGTTGGCGGCTATGTGTAAATTGCCATCTAAATTATGCAAATATGAAAATAAGGCTGATATCTAATTTTAACAGATATATTTACCAAAATTACAAAAAAAAAAAAAAAAAAAATTCTTGAAAAACCAAAGATTAAATTTAGTCAATAAAATCGTCATTAGCTTCAACCACGGCCACCAGACAACTTGGAAATCTCCTGCAACATTTCTGAACGCTCAGAAGTTTAAGTTGGTAAATGCTGCCATAATCCTTGCCTTCAGTTCATATTTGCTGTTACAAGGAGTTTTGTTGGTCTCTCGGTCAAATGTGTCTTACACATAACGAGGGGGTTTGAAGTCTGGGGAGTTAGGTGGCCAGATGTAAGGGGTGATGTGGTCACAGAAATTGCCTGACAACTAAGACTGGGTTCTCCTGTTTGCGTATCATGGTGCAGAGTCCAGTTGTCAAAAATAGGTTCCTCCAACAGCCACCCTCTTGATCCAGGGCAGCACTAACTCCTCAAGGCACTTGATGTTGGCCTCCATGTTGAATATGAGACCCTCACCAACAAATTCGAGAGTTGTTTTCTTATCAGAACGCTCAGAGTGAGTTTGTCAGACTGTCGTACCTTCGTAAGCACCTTATTATACTATACAGTCGACAAAATCAAAAATAGACAAATACATATGTGTGAAATTAAAAAATTAAAATGGCATCAGTTTACCCATCGCACCCTATATATATATATATATATATATATATATATATATATACTTTATTACCGGATGTTACATTCGAATATATGCAAAAAACCGCTACATAAAAGTTAAAGAATTATGCCTCTACTATTGTATTGAGTCATATTTTTAAATTTACGTAGAACATTTGAATTTATTTCAGTCGTTCTTATTTCATTTATATATATATATATATATATATATATATATATATATATATATATATATATATATATCATTTGGTTATGTAGATGATGTAATGAATATGCTACACCTGGGTTCCCCCCTCACAGTAATATGATTGGCTGGTGTCAGCCATAAATACAGACTGATGTGGAGGTACGACAACGCCTATTGGCTACGCCTATTGTCTTCGTCTATTGCCTACGCCTATTGCCTACCACTACGACGAGGACCAGTCCATTACGGTTACCTGTTAGATTGTCCTACCGGGTTACAGTAGCGAACAACCATTTTGCTACTTCGAACAAATATATCCCTTTCCGGGACATATCAGTAGATAATCCCAAGGAGTTACTAAAAGACGAATATCTCGGTAAATCTCCAAGAAGAGAGCTCAATCTATGAGAATAATAACAAATCATATAGAGCAATATACTTAAGAAAAATTTCAAAGAAAATCTTACATTAGAATTCTTCAGTTATAAACTTAAGTTTATTTCAACAGTTGGTTTAAACTGCATCTTCAGACTGGCTTAAATACACTAAACACAGGAAAAAAATGAATTAAAAAGAAAGATAGACAAGAAGGAAAGGAAAGAAAAGAAAATTTTTTGGGAGCGGGAGCTAATAAATGACAAGAAGGGGTAAAAACGAAGACAGAATGGAGAGGAAGATATCTTGTTGGATGAAGTGGCGTCAGGTGAGTTTTATAACGAAACTGTTCCAAAGATCTCTTCTATCAAATGCCATATGAATAGGTGATCTTTTTTAAATATATATATATATATATATATATATATATATATATATATATATATATATATATAAAACCATTTATTTTACATTCAACATCATCACTTGATAAGACATCGAGGGTTTGAAACAAAATGGCTATTTTTGTAGTGATTTTATAACATATTTATGTTATAAATTATTTTTTTAAATAAATAATTATATCTTCTCTACTTTGTATTGAGTACTCTTCTAAAAATAGTATTTGTTGGTTATTGGAATTCATTCCATATACACCAATCAGATACTTGTATATATATATATATATATATATAGTGTGACACAAAGTCTAAAGTATGTTACTTGAAAAAAACACATCTGAACTTCGAAATAATTTTGATTTTTTGACATTTAAATATAATTTAATTTTCTTTAGTTTAATAACTGATCTATGTTTTCGTATTTAATTATTTTATTTTTTTCTTCGTGTCAAAGGTTAACCGTCTGTATTTATTAAGCAGTTTAATACCTTCTTTGGTTTAATTAATTGCCACTAAGCCAAGGGGCTGAAACCTTTTCAGCCATTACTGCATAGTATAGAGAAGGGTTACCTGAAATTTTAAATCGGCAACCCAAAGATTTCCATTACCCAGTTAGATTAATGAAAAAGAGCTAAAATTTTACGGACACTTTATTCAGTAGTCGGTTAATATAGTTTTTCTCCTTCTTTATAACTGACTATATGATAAAACATTTCAGGAAGAGAAAGTCCCTCTCACCCGAATTGACCTGT